ACCACTGGTTATTCAAGGTAGGTCAACATTTATAGTCTTCATCGCATCGTTTCCTGTCCCAGTGATAAGGATAAAAATGGTTTCATTGTTACTGTTTGCAGACAAAAACCAGATAAACTGCTTTGATAATATGTCACAACACGAGAGAAAGTTTAACTACGCAACGCTTGGTATTTCTTGGTTAAATTGTCGGCATTCTCTTGCTGTTTTCGTGGTAACAACATCTACTGTTTTAATCAAGGGCGAAATGCATAAAGGGAAGTTTGAGTTATACAGTTATTTGAATTTTATGTTCAGTTCAAGGCTTTGCAACAAATAGAAAGCACGTACAAAGTACTCGTATAATTACAGACCCATACAGGGCGCTTCACACCAAAGCCAAATTATTTGTGTGAAGATATTTGATACATAAGTCACACGTGAATAGCACCTCTTAATATGAATTTATAATCAGATACTGTAGAGCCAAATGACAATTTTTTTATCATTGATCTAGATCTGGTAAATGTTGGTATGAGATAAAACGTAATCCCAGATTAGAAATCAATTTGTTCCACAGCATTGTCCACTTTTCCTCACGACAGGCATTAAAGTGGCCATGATTGATTTGTTTACATCCATTGCAACATCAGAGATATTTATTTCACGCTATTTGCACGAGTACCTATCAGTGTGACATTTCAGTGCTGCATGATGCTATAAATAGAACTGAAATGGATCCATCGTCAGTATATACCGTTGGTTCGTTAGCTTCCTACCACCTTGACATTTATCTATACTAATTAGTCCCCAATAATTAACTCTCCTTTCTGACGTAATAATTATAGCAGCCTTCGGTGCTTAAAGGTTATATTTTCGCACTCGTTTCTCAAAAGTTCTAAATATCAGGATTGACCGGGTGTATACGTTTTGTACTTTAAAAACAAGTCAACAGGCTAAGTAATATATACAGAAACAATTGTAACATTTTTAAAACATTATCAGTCTTATCAAGTCAAAAGCCAGTGAAATTTTTTTAAACGCTAATTCGTCTCCACAGTGTCAAGAGAGTTGGCACGGCACTGCACAGTTCATTATCTGAACATGTCGAGAGTGCGTCTTTATCTAACCGACCAACAGTATTCAACATAACACATTGATAGGATGGTGTGTCAGGTAAGCGGGTAATGAGTACGAGACTTTCTGCCTTTCATTGCATAATCGTAAAGTGAGATCCTAAAGGTTTTGAGGTTTGTACCCTGAACGAGACAATTTTGCAGGACACGTTATTTTTACGCTATTGTGAATTCATTTGAAAGCATCCTTGAGTAATTCCATCATACCTTTAACTATGTACGTGTATATACCTTAACATATTTTGCAAAAATAAGTAAAAATGATATGGGGTACATGGATAACTGTTTAATACCCTTCTGCTCTTCAACATCAGGCGCTTCCGCGATCTTTTCCGAGAACGAAGCTCACAAATACTGCCATTCCTCAAAATGTACGATGAGAGTGCAGACTTCATTTTCTCTCAAGAGGTTTTTTGGTTTCCCTTGCATCCCCAACCTATGGTAATGATATGTTGTAGTTGCTTCGATATTCTAGGGTCTATTCCCTGTATCACAATTTTTGTGCAAGATGCCAGCAAATGATGAACTCGCATCGCAAGGTTTCGAGATATGCAGGTTGAGAGTAAGATTATATATATATATATATATATATATATTCTCATCCATAATTACTCGTGCGACATGAAAATGGACTTTCTTGAAAGTTGTAAGAATACCAGACAGCCCATTTGCCGTTTAGCTTGTTCTTATTTAGGAACGCAACACTTGTTATTTGTATTGATCATTTACATGGTAGATGTTATCGATGAAGCAGAAGATGCTTGCAATTCTGAAACACCTAGTCTTATTCCACTTCAACGCTTTCAAAAGTGTAAATCTCTCTTTTGTTCATTTTTTGACGTTTTTTTTCTTTGTGATTGAATTATCCGTTAAGAAATATATATTCTTCTTTGTTGTCTTTTTACAGATTTTATAACGAAATCGGGGGGGGGGGGGGGGGGGGGGGGGGGGGGGGGGGGGGGGGGGGTTTGAAAAACCTAATAATTATTAAAATTCCAGTTGATAGGAAGTCATACAAACTGGATAGAAGGCAGATTATGACCTTGACCTTCTTAGTACATCACAGAATGTATTTATGTAACTTGTTAGTGATTTTTTTATTAAGTAGATGTCTCTTGATTTCCCTAGCAACAGTAATAATACTTCAATTGTTAGGAAATCGATAAAATATTCATTTTTATTTATACCAACACAGAGCACATGGGAAGCAGTAAAGCGTATACAAAAACAATTTAAGATTCTGGTATGTCTCGCCGAGGCCACAGAACACAAGAACACAAAATCTTCCTTGCAGGCTCGAACGCATAATTAACTGGCCAAAAGTGAGGAAGTGATTTTCCTTATATGCATTATCCTAGTCTTGATAGTTACCTCCCTTATTCTTCAACCTGGTTCATGAATAGTGTATTGTGGGAATAGGTACTTTTTTGGCTGACCTCCTGGGTCTCAAGTGGAGAGGCAAATCGATATCAAATTTCCAAACTTTTATAGTTTTGTTATTTTGAACTGCATGTAAATTGTTTGGAAACATCTTTCAACCTCATTCTTTTGTTTAATATCGTTTTCATTTTGGACTAATTCTGCCTCATTGTTAGTGGACCGTTAAGAATGTATTTTTATGCTAATGACAGTCGAGCGATCATGCTCACGAGTTTAATTTACCGTCCTTTAACAAGCATTTTGGTTGACATGTTTGAATAAGAAGTGCTAATATGCAAATTACTGGTATCATCATAAACTAAAAGTAGTTATTAGACGTTTTCTATTTAAGATCAGAAACTCATATCCGACTGAGTACCGAGTTAAGTTCCGTAGGACAACGATGACTTATTTTGATCTGCTTGGATCTGTACATAATGTAGTGGAGAATACCATTTGGTAGATAGTCTATAGACGTAATGTTATTGCTTTTAAATATACTGTAACACAACAAGGCGTGAACTCTTGCTTCATATTTGATAACATAGTTTATTAACAGCATCAACGTTCTATATACACACGCATCGTGATCGTATAGTGTCTTCTGTTACAATGGCCTAGTACTCTCTGTAAGTTAATCAAGTACAACTTTCTAATGTCTGACATTACTGGCCTCTTGGCGTCGTCTGTCCTGAGGCACCATCATAGGCACTCAGGGTTTCTCATCACTGCCCAACTCTTAGCTGGTACTGATAACTCCCCAGCTCCCAACTCGTACCTTACTCGACTCTCCTCTTACTCTTCTCCACTCCCCCCTCTGTACTATAAAACCCTGTCTTTTATCCTCTCTGTAAACTAGATGTATCCAATCACTAACTGCCCCGTGTGTCGGGTACCTGATTATCTTGTGTTAGTATTACGTAACCCTATCGGGATGTTTACTTGAGATCCTTATGGTATAATTCTAATCTGTTCGGTAATTCTCTCTTCCAGCTTGTACCTCCCCTATCAATAGTCTACCGGCAAGACTATTGATAATGTGAGATAGCACCCCCGTAACGTTAATCCTCCCCCACGATAACATTGCCCTATTCCCGAACATGAATATACAGGTTTCTAACATAGCATTACTTCTAAAACCAAATAACCCCAATAATTATTAGAAGTCAATTAGTCCATTACATAATCAGTTAAATGCCCATGACTTTGTTACAATACATAACATAGAACGTAATTATATTCGCTAGAAACATCCTACCTAGTATTATTTTTAATTCATTGTTTGCACATGTTACTTATTCTATTGTCGTGAAACATACTTTTTTATCCACTCCAAGATCACTCTAACGACAAAGGATTGCTCACTGCACCAACATCTTACTTCTGATCTAAGTTTGGGTGTTAATATTCTGTTAGCTCAAACTACAATTATCTTGAGTCAATAGAGTGGAAGGATATTTACGAGACACATACATACCATACAAGACCACGATCACCTTAACACCTTATCTCACCTCTGCCCACCATAACATACATCACTTATACGAATCTCAGGAAAAAATCCAAAATGTTTACGATATATATGTAGTTAAGACAACTCTTTCTTCTTAAAACATAAACAATACTTGATAGCTTACACATTTAACCGATTCAAATATTGCTTTTTCAAACCCTATTTATTCTTTTCTATCCAATCCTTCCATAACATTTTTCATTTCATCGTAATTCATCTTGTTTTAGCATTTTATAACTCTTCGAAATGAGCACGTTCAAACAAATCACACATTTTAAACTTTAAAGCAAGAATTCTGAACAGATGTAAGCAGTCTGACTGAAATCGTGTTTCCCAACTAAGTTCTGATCCGGTGGACGGAAAATTACAAGGCGGTCCGTAAAAGGACTGCATTATTTTTTACAATAAAGATTCAATGAAGAGAAGCCTTGATAACGTCGATTCAGAGGCTCCAGCTCTAAATTCGTAGTAAAAGATGTTATTCACTGAAGTATTTTTGTACAGTCCTTAGGGTATGTGAATACATCTTAATCAGAAAATTCGACGGGCATCTAGATAACAATGACCGTCCATACCCACCAAACCCCTCACCTCTTGCCGCCCAGACAGACAAGAGACAACTGGTCTATGCGCCTTCTACCCCACTGGCAGGATTAGGCATCATTAAACCTAGATGCATTCTTCAGAATCCATTCAAAAATCGCACATCGTGTCACATTCATTACACCTGCAATGTAATTTAATTAACTGTGTTAACAAGATACTTTCTACTACATGTCACCACAAAACGATTTGTAGAACTCGCTGAGGATTAAGGTTCTTGGACCTCTTATTCGATGTGTGATGTTTGACTCTGAAACATTGAGGGGAAGAAAGTAATGCAAGGTTTCACATTTTAGTTTGAAATAGAGGAATGTAAAAAAAAAAAAAAAAATGGGAAAATTCAGGAAAAAATGGGAAAGAAAGAGGAAGGTAAGTTAATACCATGTTCAGAAAGTGTAACAAAATATGGGTGATGGGAATTAAGTTTAGTATACAAAAAAATGCCTGTTGGTTTTAGGTAAGGCGTTGGACTGGAATATTGGCTACTACATGCGGTACCAACCCGACAACAGGAGAAAACAACACGCTTTATCACACAATATGCCAGCAGATGTAGTCTTCGTTGCCAAAATCAATGGTAAAGATTTATACGCCTGTACACTTCCGACATTTACTAAGGTGATTGTAAAACAAATACTAATGTAGAAACAATGCCCGATATAAGAAGAGAGTATTTCTCTTGTGAACCATTCCGTGTCCCGAAGTGTTTCCAAACTATTGTACTGATACCAAGTCATGCTAGCTTTTACGTAGTGTTACCATACGAAGGCGCCGCCTGACTGAACCCTGAGGCATTGCCAAGAACACTTTCATGGAAATTATCGATGACTGTATCATAAATACTGTGATGGCAGCATAGCCTTTTGGTCTAACTTAAATCTAACTTAAGCATATGGAGGATGTCAAATGGTTTAATACCATGTACATTCGACAGCTATTACGAAACAAAAATAGCTAAAAAAAAGAAAAGAAAGAAATTTTCTAAAAGATAAGCGTAGAAACCAGCATGATTTTATTTGACTTCATATTCTAATAAAATTGTGCTTAAAATAAACTGGTAGGAATGTTTATAAAACTGCGACCAAAATGTTTTTAAACAAAAGAGTGTGATGTATCTAACAAAACAACATACTCTACATTTGTTTCTTTTTCATTGGAACTGAATGACATCACTATATTTTTGCAGCAATTTTATAGACATCCATGAAGACCATTCTCAAATACATAAACAAAATCAACGATTATCGAGTATAACAACACGGGACGATTTGGAAAACATAAAAATGTAAAATTTAAAGTCCTTACCGCCATTCGAATTTCTTTGTCAAAATATAGGATTTTGGTTACAATATGTGAGTGATATATCTATTATTTGCTAATATTTTCCGTTTCGAAAATCTATAAAGCCATCATTTCAAGTGAGGGTACCGTAGTAACGTATAACCGATACAACGTATTAAACCCAAAGAAATAGATCACGTGATCAATAACCAACCTAATCGCACATTCTATTAAATGAAACAGATCGTGTGAAAGGGTCGTTAAGCATGAGCACACGCATACTAACGTAAAGCAGCTTAAGTTAACAGAACAGCAGGATTTACAATGGAACTTCAGACTCATTCTGACGCGATCCAGTCTCTGTTGGACAACATCGTTTCCCATTATGATTATATGACACAACGTTGGTATGAATAAACATAAGTTTAATCTTGACTGAACAGCTTTCTTATTGTACATATATATCTTTACACAGATACAATTGAATATTAACGTTTTATTGATGTATAATCAGAAGAGGTGTACATGCGATGGTGTTTTGATCAATCTGTTGGATTTAAAACACCAAATCCAGAGTCAAATTTCGTCAATGATTTAGAACTTGCACCAGACGTTCACAATATAGAATGCCTTTATCCAGGGACTTTGTTTATAAACGCAACTGGGACAATGTTATAAATTACAATTCGAAGAAAAGATTAGTATAAAAACCATTATATAGCTGAGCAACCTTGAACGTTGTCAGCATGTCTGATACAATGCTTGATTAACATTGAGTCCAAATTGTGTGCTCGTCTGTATTGTTAACAAGTAGAAAATGATTCATACTAAAGAAACGTTATGTCTAGATATGATACCATTTGAGCTATGGTCGAAGTAAAATGCATTAAGTAACAATTAACTTCATAGTACTTATTCCATAGAATTGATGATTTGGGAGGGTAGGAGTAAATGGGATATTTTTGGATATGCGAATGTCAACCACTCCCTAGTAAATGAGACATGAATTTCTCATTAAGATGGATGGAGCGTTCTTTGTAATATTAAAATGTATTGATTTAGGAATGAGCCTTTGTCGGTCATGTCATATTTGACCGATGAGAGCGTCCCTGTAGAGGTTAAACTGTAATCACGTGTCGTAATGACTGTCAAAATTATGTAAAGACAAAAATACCAGTTCATGAAAATTGACTATGAAAATTGTACACGAAGCAATGTGTGCACTATGAATATGCTTTGTCAAAAGAATTAAGTATAAACTCGAATATGGTGTAAAATCCAATCATGTCATGGTCATGCAGAATCAGGGTTTTTTTTTATGAAACCACAATTTATTTATTGTAGTCATTGTAACATTTCGGATTATTTTTCCTTTTCCTCCAATCTTTTAGCGTTTGCTTCGTTAACTTGATAGTTTCGCCTCGGACACCCGTGTTCATATACGCCAAAATTTAAGTGATTTTTTTGTATACTCCACACGGGGATACTTGATCCCGCTATTGTACTCCGCTCCATGATTTCCCAAAAATAATAATATTAATAATATTAAAACATGTCCTTTGAGGATGCTTATGTGTATACGGTGGATTCTGTTTTGATTTTTTGGCATGATTACATCATTTGGTTCGCGCACAGGTCAATGCAAATTAATTATATCTTTCAATGGTGAGTTCAATAGCTTAAAAAAGTTGAAATCACGTGTTGATATACATCATAGATTTTCATAAAATACGTATCGGTAGATCTATCAATGTACATTTAAATTCATGGAGGTTGTCAATCAATTACAGACATTATGTGATAAAAACTTGCTACGACGATATTTTAAAATATACTCTGACAGCAGACCTCAAACAAAATACAAACAGTATCAGCCTAAAAATCTAACACAAGAGCTGTTTCTTTTCAATTTCAAATTGTTTAAGAATTTTCTATAGAATCATTATTGGATTACATTACCTCAAAAAACGATTTAAAGGAAAGCAACCAAGCAGGGACACAAGATGCGGGTACAATTAATACAAAGCTAACAAGGGAAAAAAATCATGAACGCGAAGAAGTAACGCCTTTGTAGCCCGTATCATTAAAATAGTTTTAATGGCACACCCTGACTTTGTCCATTTTGAAAACAAATGTTGGTTTGTTTCAGATCATATAAAGATAGTATCTTCATTTGGCTCTACTGCATCTAACTCTAATTTTACACTTGAAGGTGCTGTTCACTTGTATGTCTTTTGTACATTCTCCAAGGATGATGGATTCCTCACGAGCACTTCAATACTGTCATCGATTTAAATGTCCTGGAAATGTAGCGTAATATAGTCATACAACTTATTACTGACTGATGTTTGAAGTATAATCAGTATTCATCAAGTGTTCTTGAAAAGATTTCTTTGAACTGCACATATAGCATAGTTAGAACAATGCGGAATTTCGTAAAGACGGTAGTGTAGCTCTTTGTCCCTTCTTTACCAGACAACAAACTACCTTTTACAGCCACAGTGTTAACTGCGGTGTAACTAGCAACTTGACAGGTGTGTGGGGATGAAATGCATCACAAACGCTAATATCATTTTATCTTCCATTTCTGAACAGCAACATTTCTGCATCCCCACAGTGTTCAAATGCTTAGGTTGATTTGATATGTAAGGGCCAGTTCCACGATTTTCGTGCCAGATATCAACCTACCGACAAACTCATAACACAGTTTCCAGAGATGCAGGCTGATGAAAATTAGGAGGAAGGTTTACAGTCGTCATAGTGATATCATTTAGAAATATATTGTATACAATATGAAGATCGATGTGTTGGGTAAGTTTTCTTGATTGTTCCGTTGTTGTTCTTGTTGGAGAATATAACACTACTTACTTGGACTGAATGAACTTTACATGGCCGGTGACGACGATTAAGCTGAGGACCTCTCCAGAACACCTGGTTTTATTGGCTTTGCATTTTGTCAACGGCCTCCGTGTAAATCTTTCTTTTTGTTAATATTTATTAAATTTGTGTTTGAATTATGATTGTACGTGTCATTAAATGAGTCAAATGAAGACGATATCACATGTATGTTAAAAAGGATATGCCAAATACTTCCTTTCATATTCGGAAATTCCTTCCATATCTTTTACTATGGGAACATGTACATTGAAGAAACCATATATGCCGCATTGATTGCAACACTTGTAATCTTGATATTCTTCGTCCTTTCCCATCTTGCACTTTTTCCTTCATTTCATTTCCCCTCTTGTCACATTCCATATGATCGGAGAGTTAAACCAAGTCAAAACGACAAATTTGTAGCTTTCCATGGGATGTTCCGAATGATTCTGCTGAAAATAGGACAATTTCCTGACACTATGCATTTCAAGTGGTTAAATATTTCAATCTACTTCTATTTCGTTTTAATCTCAGTACATTGTCTAAGTAACAAATATGTTTTGAATTCTAGCTTTGCAATTCAAAACAATTATTTACCGGACGCATCAACCTATTGGACTGGACTAGAATTGGCCACTTATGCCTTCTTGAGAATCCCATTTTGTTTAAAGACTTTTAAATGAAAATGAATTACCATAATAACGACATTATCACAAACATCCCCTTACCTCGTGCAGTATCTGGTTTACTCCTGTGACGTAAACACAAACATCCCCGCAAGTCCCCTACTTTGTGCATCTGGTTTATTCCTGTGACGTAAGCGCAAACATTCACGCAAGCCCTTCGTACCTCTTGCAGTATCAAGTTTATTCCTGTGACGTAAGCACATACGAAATATTTTTACGTGTTCTGGTGACAGCCAGGTTATATGAAGTTGATTTCCACATATACTGCTATAAATCTACAGCCTTGCATTGTTATTATTTCTCGGAGGGCGTCAACCCAACATTCCTTTCGCAAGAAAGGCTACAATTTAGCATAGTTATCATCAAAAAGTCTACAGTTTAGCATCGGTATCACTTAAAAGGCTCCAAAGGTGCATTGCTATTACTAGAAAGGCTGCAATCTAGCATGGTTTTCATGTAAAATGCTCTAAAGTAGCATAGTTATTACTATAGAGGCTAAACCTAGACGACGCTAACCTAGCATTGATATTACTGAAAAGGTTACAACCTATAATTGTTATCTAAAAAGTCAGCAACCAAGCATCCTTATTGTTACGCTGACATCTATTAGTATAATGTCACCTCGCAGTATTCCTCTACAGCAACAACCTGTTATTATCTGTTGAATGACCACCGCCGTCAGGGTGCGCCTTAACAATATTGTAGCTCAACGTAAGGTCATCGCCAGAAAAGCTGAAAGTGAGTACTTTTGTTACTAAAAAGGCTAACGTGAAG